AATTGAAAATGTATTTCCTTCTTGGTTCTTAGCTCAAAAAAACTTTGGGATGTTTTATTTGTATTTGTTGTAAGCACTAAAATATTTATGCAAAGTTTTAATCCATTTGGAAAAACCCTCGAAGAAAAAAGTGACAAAATTTATTTTGACTAGGGTCGCCCCTAGTCCAAAATTGAAAATGTATTTCCTTCTTGGTTCTTAGCTCAAAAAAACTTTAGGATGTTTTATTTGTATTTGTTTTAAGCACTAGAATATTTATGCAAAGTTTTAATCCATTTGGAAAAACCCTCGAAGAAAAAAGTGACAAAATTGATTTTGACTAGGGTCGCCCCCAGTCCAAAATTGAAAATGTATTTCCTTCTTGGTTCTTAGCTCAAAAAAACTTTAGGATGTTTTATTTGTATTTGTTTTAAGCACTAGAATATTTATGCCAAGTTTTAATCCATTTGGAAAAACCCTCGAAGAAAAAAGTGACAAAATTGATTTTGACTAGGGTCGCCCCTAGTCCAAAATTGAAAATGTATTTCCTTCTTGGTTCTTTGCTCAAAAAAATTTTAAAATGTTTTATTCGTATTTGTTTTAAGCACTAGAATATTTATGCAAAGTTTTAATCCATTTGGAAAAACCCTCGAAGAAAAAGGTGACAAAATTGATTTTGACTGAGTCGCCCCTAGTCCAAAATTGAAAATGTATTTCCTTCTTGGTTCTTAGCTCAAAAAAACTTTAGGATGTTTTATTTGTATTTGTTTTAAGCACTAAAATATTTATGCAAAGTTTTAATCCATTTGGAAAAACCCTCGAAGAAAAAAGTGACAAAATTGATTTTGACTAGGGTCGCCCATAGTCCAAAATTGAAAATGTATTTCCTTCTTGGTTCTTAGCTCAAAAAAACTTTAGGATGTTTTATTTGTATTTGTTTTAAGCACTAGAATATTTATGCCAAGTTTTAATCCATTTGGAAAAACCCTCGAAGAAAAAAGTGACAAAATTGATTTTGACTAGGGTCGCCCCTAGTCCAAAATTGAAAATGTATTTCCTTCTTGGTTCTTAGCTCAAAAAAACTTTGGGATGTTTTATTTGTATTTGTTGTAAGCGCTAAAATATTTATGCAAAGTTTTAATCCATTTGGAAAAACCCTCGAAGAAAAAAGTGACAAAATTGATTTTGACTAGGGTCGCCCCTAGTCCAAAATTGAAAATGTATTTCCTTCTTGGTTCTTAGCTCAAAAAAACTTTAGGATGTTTTATTTGTATTTGTTTTAAGCACTAGAATATTTATGCAAAGTTTTAATCCATTTGGAAAAACCCTCGAAGAAAAAAGTGACAAAATTGATTTTGACTAGGGTCGCCCCCAGTCCAAAATTGAAAATGTATTTCCTTCTTGGTTCTTAGCTCAAAAAAACTTTAGGATGTTTTATTTGTATTTGTTTTAAGCACTAGAATATTTATGCAAAGTTTTAATCCATTTGGAAAAACCCTCGAAGAAAAAAGTGACAAAATTGATTTTGACTAGGGTCGCCCCTAGTCCAAAATTGAAAATGTATTTCCTTCTTGGTTCTTTGCTCAAAAAAATTTTAAAATGTTTTATTTGTATTTGTTTTAAGCACTAGAATATTTATGCAAAGTTTTAATCCATTTGGAAAAACCCTCGAAGAAAAAAGTGACAAAATTGATTTTGACTGAGTCGCCCATAGTCCAAAATTGAAAATGTATTTCCTTCTTGGTTCTTAGCTCAAAAAAACTTTAGGATGTTTTATTTGTATTTGTTTTAAGCACTAGAATATTTATGCAAAGTTTTAATCCATTTGGAAAAACCCTCGAAGAAAAAAGTGACAAAATTGATTTTGACTAGGGTCGCCCCTAGTCCAAAATTGAAAATGTATTTCTTTCTTGGTTCTTAGCTCAAAAAAACTTTAGGATGTTTTATTTGTATTTGTTTTAAGCACTAGAATATTTATGCAAAGTTTTAATCCATTTGGAAAAACCCTCGAAGAAAAAAGTGACAAAATTGATTTTGACTAGGGTCGCCCCTAGTCCAAAATTGAAAATGTATTTCCTTCTTGGTTCTTTGCTCAAAAAAATTTTTTTCATCCAAAGTTTAATTTTAAAAAAAATCACAGTGAACTTTTATTTTAAAAAATTCGTAAGAAAGGAAAGTTTTTTGCTTTTTCTAAAGCAACGGCTGTTCCTACCTTGCCCAAAAACAATACAGCTCTTCTATAGAGCAGCACGGATCAAATGTAAAAAACTAGAAGTCTCTACGATGTCTCGTTATTGAGATTTCTTGCTGATTAACTTGCTTGTTTGCTTGTTTGCTTGCTTACAGAAAGCATATTTTGCGATTTTCTGATGTGAAATTCAAGGCACAAACTGTTCATCTCTGAACATTTTAAGCTATCTTGCTACATATCCTAACAAAATTCTGAAAACTGATTTTTGAATCTGAACAAAACCAATAGATTCACACGTGAAAACGGTGTGAATATAAAAAAATGTCTTTCCTTCCATTGATGTTCGAAGATTTTTATGGATGTCCTCGACGTTATCAGTATCGTCAACACCCACACAGTGATTTTGCATTTGGATTGAATCCTATCGAATTATCAGCAATCCTTGCAGTCCCAACAGAAATGCGACAGTCAGAAAATGGTTCAAGATGTCAAAAGAAAAGTCAGGCTAATAAATTTCTTCCTACAACTGGTAAAGATGGTTTCCAAGTTTGTGTAGAGGTTCAACAATTTAATCCAAATGAAATAGCCGTAAAGACTGTTGATAACTTTATTGTGGTCGAAGGCAAACACGAGGAACGTGAAGATGAGCATGGATATATCAGCCGTCAATTTTCACGACGCTACACAATGCCAAAAGGATATGATTCCGATTCCGTTATTTCTTATTTATCATCTGATGGTGTTTTGACTATTAAGGCTCCACCACCTCAGACTTTGGAAGTCAATGAACGTATTATTCCCATTTCACATGCCGGACTAGCATATTTAAGTGTTAAAGAAAACAAGGAAAGCAATGCAGGACATGATAAGAAGCAATGCAGGACATGATAAGAAGCAATGCAGGACATGATAAGAAGCAATGCAGGACATGATAAGAAGGTAGAGAAATAAATTTAACATATTTCATTTATTGTATGATTCATGCCCAAGGACTATGGATAGCACGCTGTTAAACTATAAATATTTTGAATGAATGTTTTCATAAATTCTCAAAATTTCCTATTTTAAGTCATTTTTGGTTCTGTTTAAGCATGTTGCTGTATTTATTCAGTGATAAAAAACGATTTGCAACTGTCATAGCTTAAATTATGCTTCAAATAGATGAAAAAATTGCAATTAAAAAATTTATTCATAAATTGTAAACAAACTAGTGCACATTGGTGCACATTGTCTTGTCCATTCGAGTTCAAATTTTCATCAACTATCCATAGTCTTTGGATTCATGCATTTGGACATTAATAATTTAACAGGTGTTATCGAAGGTCTTGACCATTTGTAAATTTGTAAAGTAGCATTTTTGTACCTTCCAATGAATTTTTTGACTGTTTTAATTGCAGGCGATAGGGTTAAGATTCAAATTATTGATCCATTTAAAAAATATTTGTTTCCAGAAGTTTATAGAACTTGTAATTTAAACGACAAAAACAAAATAATAAACGAATAAACTATTTTGTAAATTATGGAATTCGACTGAGTAATTTATTTGTGCTATTTTTCCATTTTCCAGTATTTTCTTTGAAAATATATCTTACGAGAATTCGCCATTCGAAATGTTCAGTTAAGTCACTAAGCCGGTAAAGCAAACAAACAAAATTTAAAATCTACCAAAACAAGTAGCACGTGTGTACAAAAACATTTTTTTTAAACCAATACAAACAGAATACCTATAGTAGAGTCATTCACTTATTACGTTCACTTTTTGCGGTCGATGTGAGAGTTCTAAATCCCCACAAATTTGTTGGGGGGGGGGGGGGGGGGGGGGGGGGGGGGTTAAAGATTTTTTGGTTCTGGGTGATTTAAAGCTGCATCCCAGAGAAATGATGGGATTGGCGATAGATTTAATGGCACCAGATTTTCAGTCATCTGATCAAACAAGTCGTGTCTAAGTATTTAAATGCACAGAATAATTAAGAAACCTAGTAAGTGCTTGACTAATAATCATCCACAGAACATCATCCTTTGTCCACAGAATTCGAGTAAAAAGGTGAGCTAAAGAAGATGCATATGAACTAAAATACAGCCCAATTACCATAACAATTTTTAAAAAGTCAAGAAGATTCTAGAGATTTCTAACGTCTATATATTTTTATTCACATGCTTTACCTTTTTATTTGTTGTCCAATATACTGATGCTTTCAATTAATAAATAATATTGTTACAACAACACCCAACCAACATCTTCTTTATAAAGGATTGTAAACCTTAATCCACTCAATTTTATCGTTTATTCGGACGGTAAAGTAAATAAATTTGTTTGTATCGATTTCACATATAAATTGCGATGCGCCATGCTATACACATCCAAACGCTCTTACACAAACTTATCTCTAAATTTTTCTCGAAATGAACTCTTTTACATAATTTTATTTGAATGACCCTAATTGTACTGTAAGAACCGGCGAATCTTGTATGTGTTGACTGTAAATAATAGACATATGATCATCGAAAAATAATGCAAGCCTCATACATCCAAGCGATGCAACAGCTTAGTTTACAAGTTTTTTCAAACAGACAATGAAAAAGAATGAGATCAATTTATTATTGAATTTAAATTTATAATAAATAATCTGATTCATTTGATTCCACCCACGGTTTGCATTATAGAAAAATTAACGATTTAGACCAATTTAGACATTCATTATTTAATTTTCTAGAACCATGACAACAATGAATACACACAGAAAAGAATTTTCGCGAAAAATATACCCAGAAGCTTTATCGAAATTTCTCGATGTATTTGTGAAGAATATATAAACGGCTGTGCAATGAGCGGATACAGCAGCATTTATAAAAGAAAATTCAAAGTGAAATAAACCAAAGAGAAATAAGGAAATCGAAAACTAAGATTCAAAGTATAATTAAAAGCGTGAAATTTTTGAAAGTAGCAAAAACGATGTCATTAGTTCCTACTTTGTGGAGAGACATGGATGATTTCTACGCTAATCCATGGAGATTACAGCACGATTTAATTCCTTCATGGCGACGACCAATGTCATTTTTTGACGATTTTGGATTTGGTTTCCATCCCCATGATCTTAACGAGATGCTGAGAATACCTCGTGAATTTAGACAAATGGAACAACGTTCGAGAGAATTGCAAAGACAAATGATGGGGGATATAAATGAGGTAATTCCAACAACTGGCAAGGATGGTTTTCAAGTGTGCATGGATGTTCAACAATTTAAACCAAGTGAAATTACTGTAAAGACAACTGATAATTCGGTGGTTATTGAAGGAAAACATGAAGAACGACAAGATGAGCATGGTCAAATCAGTCGTCATTTTATTCGACGCTATACACTTCCTAAAGGATATGACCCAAAATCAATAAGTTCTGAATTATCTTCAGATGGGGTTCTGACTATCAAGGCACCTCCACCACAAGCTATTGAAAATAATGAGCGTGTAATCAGCATTCAACACACAGGACCGGCTCGACTTAATGTTAAAGAAAATAAGCCAATTGAAGACAAAAAGTAAATTTACATCCAAAAGATGTTTAAGAACAGCATTTCATAAATCAAAATTCTGGACTTTTGGTTATTTTTTAGAATAGTTCAAAGACTCATGTCACAAAATTTATAATTTTTACCATAATTAATCACCAATAAAGGATAATAAATAAGTATTTGTCATACAAAAAAAGTTTTACGTAGCAGTGCTATAATAGAAAAAGAATTTTGTAAACTACCAAAGTGTTAATTGATTACAATCTGAAAATGTGAATTAATTGAATAAATGATTGGTTGGTTCTTAGGATGACCTTAAATTACAAATAATCCAATGTGTTTTTCTTGATTTTATTTAATATTATGTTCTTGGATCTTGATACATAATGAAGAATGTATTTAAACAATTTAGAATTTCTGGAACTTCTTCTTTGATCCAGCAACTTTGCTGACCTTCAATACATTAAACTTGACTGTCTTTGAGAGTGGACGACATTCTCCAACTGTGACAACATCTCCGAGCTCAACATCGCGGAAGCAAGGTGATAAATGTACGCTCATATTTTTGTGTCTCTTTTCAAAACGACTGTATTTTTTAACGAAATGTAAGAAATCACGACGAATGACAATTGTTCTTTGCATCTTCATTTTTCGTACGACTCCAGTCAAAATTCTTCCACGAATTGAAACCATACCAGTAAATGGACATTTCTTATCGATATAATGTCCAGAGACTGCCTACAATTAAATAAACTAAGCATTAATTGCAGATTCGTAATTTACTTTCATATAGATTGTATATTGAATTTGTTCAGATTCGGGATAATTTCAAGAATCAACATTATTAAAATCTGTAGACCGTCATGAATGTTCTCATCATAAAAAGTTTAATAGCATAATCTTTAAATTAAGTGCATCAACATACCTCTTTTGGTGTTTTGAATCCAAGTCCAACATTACGGTGAAGACGAGTTGATTTTGGTTTCTTTCCTTGGAACCGGATGTTACGATTAAGATTTACTCCTTGTTGCTTTTGGAAAGCACGTTCGACCTACAAAAATATTAAGGAGAAATAAAGCATTAGTTTATTCCATATCAAATTGTGTGAGGTTAGATGATGAAAATCTTTAAAAGTTGTCAGTAAAACTAAAAAGTGTATCACTTTCCTCCGCATATATGTATCAGAAGACCGTCATGATTTTTATCATCATATAAAAAATTAATTAATGTAATGAGATAGTTGTGAAAATAATATTTCAAGCCATACTTAAATTATTATGTTAGACATATTGTTTATGTCAGATTTTTTGAGAAATCCAGGACTTTAAAGCAATTTCTTTATATTCATTTTAGAGAACATTAACTTGTCTCTTGATTTCACTTAATTAAACACTCCACAAATATCTCATTGTATTAGAATTTAATATAATTTAGGAAACATTACCTGATGATCTGCCATGTTGAGCGAAAAGAAAAAATAATTTTACACCCCGTGAGCCCTTGAAAAAATACACATAAATTCAAATTTTGAAATAACCGTTATTTTATTCTAAAATTATAAATCCAACAATTGAGAATTTAGCGGATGAAGTAGGACATACATGAACAAACATAAATTCATGAACATGAAACAAAAATAACTCTAGACGACTAGAAATGCATGTGTGCTCAAATGCTGTGCGATACTTATATGCTTTTCTTTAGTTTGTCTTTTTATCCTCATCATTAGATTTGATTGCTTTGCGAGTCTTAATTGGATTTTCTTTGCATTCCTTATGCACACTGGTCAAATCAAATGCTGCTTTCAAATTATCTTCAGAGAAGAAAAACTTTACTAATTTTCCTTTGCCATCAGCAAATGGTCTACGGCATTCTTCTTTTCCATTCTTAAACAGAACAACTGTCGGTAATTGACGACTTAATGAACTATCAGAGACATGATACTTTTTGCCATCATCGGGTAATCGACCAATATCCACTTTACCGAATTTGAAGTTATCAAGGTTGTACTCGTTCGATAGCTGAGCAAATATTGGTGCAAAAGTGACGCAAGCTGGATTCCATGTAGTATAAAACGTAACTAGCCAAGTGACTCTTTTATCTCTATCCAATTCCTCTTGTAAGCTATTTGGTTGTCTAAAATAGATGACATTATCCGGTCCTGAGTAGGTTGGTTCCGGTAAAATGAGAGCAAATAGAATGAATAAAACTCCATAAAGAATTCCACATTTAATATCCGAATAAAACCACAGAATGAGATTTGCTAGCTTCGTATACAGGAAAGAAGATGTTAAATAGTTAATCATTGTGACACTGAAAATGTAAGGAGAATTTTTTTTATGTGAATGTTCTTTAAATTGTCTAATGACCTAGTTTAAATCTACTTATGTTATATTCGATCATGCATACCTTCCAGTTTTCCTTGAACGCAGCATAACTACAATCATGAGAAAGAACAGAATTTCTGTTTCACGACTATCCAATTCACATGACTCTTCTTGTGGAAACACATAAGGATGAATATAGCTGCAAAGTCCTGGTGTTTTTTTCGCGACTATATAAGTCAAAGACAATAGAATATTTATCCAATAATATGGCTTAGTCAAAAGCTTAAGATCGTTCTTGAATGACATGTTGTTATTTCAATAACGATTTATCGTTTTAACTCAATAAATGTAATGATACTCGAGATAAACTCGAGGAAATTTGTTAATTTTCACACTTTAGAAAACTTAATGAGAAAAGAAAACTCCCTTGTGAAAATTTAAGAACTTTATTTATAAACAAGACAGACAATTTTTTCTATAGCTTCACATCCCTGGATTTTTGACACGTACATAGTAGTGAGAAAAATTTATAAAAATAATTTTAAGTGAATTATATTAGAATAATGGCTGATACATTAGCTGAAACTGTTCAAAAGACAGTCGAAAACATCACAGAGAATGCCAATGTCAAAATTCCGGCAACTTCAGAAGGAATGTTCATTGCTTATAGCAGTTTAGTGATAATGGCACTTCTACCAATTTTCTTTGGATCAAAGAGAAGTTTAAGTAATCAGAAAGAACACAAAGTAATATATTAAATTTCTAAGTTAGACATAGCTCTAAACAAGTGTTGAATTATTTACAGGCGAGTGATTCAACAGAAAAACCCGATATTATGACGAAAAAAGATGCTATGATGTTTCCAATCATTGCTTCGTGTGCACTTTTTGGTCTCTACATATTTTTCAAGTTATTCTCAAAGGAGTACATCAATCTCCTGCTCACTGGATACTTTTTCGTATTAGGAGTTTTAGCATTGTCTCATTTATTGGCACCCGTCATTAGTAAATTAGTTCCATCGTCAATTCCATATGTTCCATTTCATATTAAGTTTACAAAAGGCACAAATGAAGATCTTATTGATTATAAATTTACATCATATGATATCGTATGTTTGGTAATATCTACAACAATTGGAGTCTGGTATCTATTCAAGAAGCACTGGATTGCAAATAATCTTTTCGGATTGGCATTTGCTCTCAATGGAGTTGAATTATTATATTTGAATAATGTAATAACTGGATGCATTCTATTAGGGGGACTTTTTGTTTATGACATTTTCTGGGTTTTTGGCACAAACGTCATGGTAACAGTCGCAAAGAGCTTCGAAGCACCCATTAAACTCGTTTTTCCACAAGATCTTCTTGAAAAAGGCTTAGGAGCTTCAAACTTTGCCATGCTTGGACTCGGTGACATTGTGATTCCTGGAATTTTCATTGCTCTTCTATTGCGTTATGACTACAGCTTGAAGAGAAACTCCAGCCTTTACTTCTATGCTACATTCATTGCCTATTTCATGGGACTTATGGCAACAATATTTGTCATGCATGTATACAAACACGCACAGCCAGCCCTTCTCTATTTAGTTCCAGCATGTGTAATCACTCCAATCTTCATTGCAATGATCAGAGGAGACTTGAAAACATTATTTGCGTAAGTCTATGTCATTTTTTTTTTTAAAGTTAAAACTGACATGATCAAACAAAACTTTTTTATTGCAGCTATGAAGATCATCCAGAAGAGAAGACAGACGAAAAGGAGGTCAAAGAAAAGTCGAAACCCGAGCAGTCCAAAACAGAAAAGAAGAAGACAAAATAAACCTTTTACTTACCTAACACACATAATTCTACCAATCAACAAATGTTTTCCTTCCAATATTTTGTTACGAATATCCTCCGCATGATAACAGACCATTGATATTTCACTATTAAAATTTAGAGCAGAATTCTTCTTTTAAGGAACTTTAAAGGATTCATTAATTATGATACAAAATGAAACAAAAATTTTAAAAATGAAATATTCATGTGCTGCCGTAATTCCTTTAATATGATAATGAAGACACTTAGAAAGTATAATTTAAGTTTAGTTTGAATTTGTTTTAGAAACAAAAAAGTTACATCTTAAGTTATGAGCAGCTTAATGAGAAAAATATGTAGAACAAGATATATGATACAAAAAAAAAACCATTTGGATAAGTTCTAAGCTGTGATTAACATCTCCAACGTCTTTATTATTTGTACATGGATAGACTGCTAAAGAAAAATGTGCTTCATGAAATTCTTTTTTTGTTGTTTGACTAGTTTTATATGCACAAGTTTTTTGCATTTTTGATTTTTAAGATGATTTATACAGAACATAATTGATTTCTTTTTATTACTGCTGCATGTAAACATTTTAGGCTATATCTTTTACGAAAACATTAAATTAATGAACATAAATTGTGTATTTAGGATATGATGTCAAGAAGAAAAATCAATTATTTTGAATAAAATTAAAAAATATGCAGAGAAAAATTTTGTCATCAGCCTTAAATTATATCCATAACTGCATTAGCAAAATTGATTAGACACGCTAAGAACTTTTTATCGAAACTTGTTCCTTTATTATTTTAAATGAAAATTGAATAAGCAGAGAAAATTTCCCCAAATACATGAGACTTACAAATAAAGTAGAAAAACTTTAATCTTTAAGATTTTCTGTTGTTATATCTTCCAATCGCTTAACACCGTTAGTGTCCACAACCTGAACATGGAATCTTGGTTGGCTAATGATTAATCGCTTTTGAATTTCACGAGCGCACTTTCGCATAATTTCATAGGCTTCATCTTGAGTTAAGTCTATAAAATTAAAATGTTCGTGAATTAAATAATGTAACTGGAAGTATATTTTAGGAACTTACTATCATGATGATATTTATCAAAAATACTTCCACAGAACATTCCTCCGTATCCATGAGCACCATGTTTAACTGATAAAGTATTAGCAAGATAATCAATGAAGGTAAGTTGTGGTCCTTCCTTTTTATCATATCCAGCAACAAGCAACCATACTTGGTAAGCATATCTCGTTCTCAAATAATCAGCTAAATTCTTACGAGTAAAGTACGCTGCTGCTTTTGGACTCAATTCATATCCATTTCTCATTTTATACAAGAGAATATTCTTTGAAATATACTCAACAAATTGAACTGTATCACCAGCATCTCCAGTTGCAGCAATCAGCAACGAGTCAGAAATTTTATGGATCTTATTTTCATCTGAAATTATTTTGTACAATTTTAATTTTGCCGAATCATTGTTGGGTTAAAAATAATTCTCAATTTTTCTCTATAATTACCATCTTTCAGGACCATAATTGAATGTGGATGAGTGCTATCGGCAGCTAGCATTACAAAATCCTTTCCTTTAATTCCAATAATTGATTCCATCTTGAGAAATTAATTAAAATTAAAATTTTTGTCTCGAATTTGTTTTGAGTAAATGACAATATCTACAAGTTTTGATCTACAATGTCTACCTACTAGATTTCATAGTTTTGACCCTTCATTTTAAAGGATGTAAACATCTATAGATTGATCCAGTGTGTATTTATAACATTAATTAAAATGAGCTATGTTGATAGTATCTGCATAAAATTCCTCAGTCCATCGGTAATCATCTATGGTAAGAATAGAATTGACTAGCAATTTCGTACAATCATAATAGAATTTCATCATTAACAGGTCGAGGCAACAGTCTTTTTATTCAGCGTGAAAAGTTGAAGGAAAGTCTTCAATTAAAAACGTATGATAAGATTCATAAAATATCATTTATCGACTGTGGTAATAATGCTCATGAAATAGTATGCTCTGCAGGACGAGATATATTGCTGACCAAAGTTGTTGATAACAAATTTCAAGGAACCGGTTCAATTACAAGATTTAATGACTGGATCTCATCAATTAAATATTTAAAGGATGGCATTGCAATCATCACACGACACAATATTGCTGCATTGTTGGAACTTGAAGATAATAAGCTGATTATTAAGAAGAAATTTAAATGTGATGATAATTCTACACTTTATTGCTCATTCATTCATGGAAATGCATGGAAGGACTTAATATTTTTCTCGGGGACGGCTCTTGGTGAGCTAATAATATGGAAAAAGGATGAACTGAGTAAAGAATCTACGACGCTTTATCAAAAATCAACGCATAATGGTGTGATATTTTCAGTAAGTTACGATGAAGATTATCATGGTATTGTAACTGCATCAGACGATAGATCGATTAAAGTATATCGTCCAAATGAAAGCTTTAGTGAATTAAAAGAATTAAGTCAATTGTTTGGACACACGTCAAGAGTTTTTGTTTGTAAAATTATCAAGTATAACGAAGAAGTAAAGTTTATATCGGCAGGAGAAGACTCAAATATATGTTTTTGGACAGAGAATGGAACATTACAATCGAAGAAAAATATCAGTGCTTCAGGCGGTATATGGGATTTAGATTATGACTTAAAAAATAATCGAATTGTAACAAGTAGCAGCACAGGTAAACTGAATCAATTCTTATTAGATAAAATTTTCCATGAAGTTTATAGTCAGGAAGTAATATCAACACGTGAGCATGTTGAGCCATCAAAATTAATATACTTAGAAAATGGGACATTGTGTGCAATAGACAGCAGAACACAAATTTATACGAAAATGTCCACAAATAATCAGTGGATAAAGGTTGAACATCCTTACATTTCTCAGAAGATTGTTGCAATGGATGTTTTTAAGAATCGCTTATTCCTTGCAGTCAAAAGTTCAATCTTGATTTTCGATTATTCTCAGATTTATGAAAAATTGAATTTTACGTTTGAATTGAATGTGGACGAAAAGTTTCCACTTCCACAAGAATCAAATTACATTCGTGCCATACACGTCCTAAATCGTAATGAAATTTTTCTCTCAGATGTTTATGGCTCATGTATGGTTGTAAATGTTGAGAGTAAAGTCGTAAAAAATTTATTTAAAATTCCAAAAAGCATTGAACCGTGGACAACATCAGTAGAAAAAATAGATGATTATTGGATTATTGCTGATCGAGTTGGTTCACTCTATCTCTACCGTAATGATGAAAATGATTTGAGTACATTTCAAATGCCTATACAAAAGTTATCAAAATTACATGGTCTAACTGGCGTGACTACGATTCGTTCGATGGATAATGATTTTATTAAAACAACGGGAAATGATGGGACTATTAAAACATTGCATCTAAACCGAAAGACATCTCAATTGGAATTTTGTCAATTAGAACGTACTCATGTACATTTCATCGAGAAAATTCGAGAGTATAATGATGAGTCGTACATCCACGGATTCAACGATAATTTTTTTGTTATGTACAAAGATCGTGAGATAATTTACGAGCATAAATGCGGTGGAAGACATAGACATTGGGATGTGACATTAATCAATAAAGATGACTGTAAAGTGCAGTTTGCCTACATCTACAAAAAACAAGTTCATTGCGTAGAGTTCTATTTAAATAATTTCAAAATTGACACACCTATCAATGACAAAAGCAATATAATCTGGCACACCAAACCTTGTAATGTTCTTAAAGTGATTGATGATTCTGGGATTTTGATTTCTGGTGGAGAAGATACGATCTTAAAATTCACAAAAATAGAGATGATGGAAGATGGCAATGTATTATACACGAAGATTGCAGACATAAATTCACACATTTCAAGCATCAAAGCTATTGTAACATGGAGAGAGAATGATGAGGAGAAAGGTGATGACCTAAACATAATTTCTTTAGGTTCCAGAGCTCAAATTGTTATGACGAAGGTTATTAAAATGAAATATGTTAAAGAGGAAATTAATTTTATGCTTACAAATTCATTGCTTTGTGGTAATTCAAAGGAAACGACCTTTGATACTGAGACCCGATTTACGTGCGCATTTTTTGATGTCAAAAGAAGACATCTCTTTGTTGGATGTTCAGATGGATATCTTAGGGTATTTAAACTTCAACATAATGAGTTTTCCAGTTCATTGAAACCCTTCATTGAAAGCTTCTATGGCAAATGTATTCTTCACATTACCATGATTAAAAGCTTTATTCTAACAATGGCAACTGATGGAATTGTTTGTTTTTGGTATTTTAATGAGATGCAAGAAGAAGAGATAGAACATCGACACAATTTGAATGAATTAAAAATTATACACAAGCTACAACATAATCAAAATGGAATCAATTGTTTTGATGTATTCACAATCAATGATGACCATTATAAAATTGCAACATCTGGTGACGATACTGGCCTTTATGTTACAGAATTCGAGACTGTTGATAACTCTTTAATAAAGTGTTATAAAACAATATATAGTTATGGAATACACATTGCACAAGTAACAGGCATCAAATTCATAACATCCGATAAATTGTTGACAGTGAGCGTTGACCAAACGTTATGCAAGGTTGAAATAAAATCTGATAAGTTTACAATCATAGACAAAAAGTTCACATGTATTTCTGATGTCAAAGGATTCTCATTTTTTAATGAAAATTTGATATTTGTTCACGGTGCTGGACTTGAAGCTATAAAGTATTTTTAACTACGATTGACTAGCATATAAGCTTACAGTTGTGATATTTTTATTGCATCATAGCTGTCAAACTTTTCATATAAAACTTATTAAATCATGAATTATTGATGTACAGCCAGATTGTTCGTGTTAAAAGCGAAAACAACAGAATGTTAATTTTTCAATGCCAATAAACATTTTTTTATTTAATAATGCATAAATTCATTAATAGCTTTAATTTATCAACAAGTGCAGATTCTTTGTCATGTCGTTAATTTATTAATATTTTAATTTACATTCAAAAAGAGAAGATGATTAAACACAGGGATGGCGTGATGGCTCAGAAATTAATTTTGTTTGTTCATTTGCTTCTTTTTTATATCACTTCACTTTTGCTGATTACATTCAAATATTTTCTGAGCCTCGTTCTGAATCAGTCGATAGATGTACAACATTGATTCCATTTTTGGATTACATCCTCCTTGTTGTGGTGGCAATGTCTGTGGAATGACGTTCGATGAATCTCCGAAAATTGATTGAGTGGCTGTTGACGCTCGTTTGCCCCAAGAAGGCGAAAATGTCAACTAAACATTTTTTTTAAGAATAGACATGAAAATAAAAGTTATAAGCGAGAGGGAAAATAGAGCAACTCACTTGTGATTGACATTCAGGAACTTTAACACATAGGACGAAACATGCGGCAAGAAGGAGAATGTTTAAAAACTTCACAAAATTCATTTTTAATTAATTAATTTTTTATTATCCTTTGAGTAAGTAAAAAACAGTAACTTTTATCAAGACACAGAAATTCTTCTTATTGTCACTTGATTTAAATTGATTAATAAAATGTTTAGTCACTTCCTATCAATCAATAGATCCAAATTGAACTGATTGAATTTCACTTGATTGCTGTTTAATTTATATGAAAAGTTCCTTCCTTACATCATACATGTCAAGCATCATCAAAGGACAGGGTTAAGACGAAGAAAAGGGTGCTAATAAGGCTTCTTAGTATATAAGGATCATATATGATGACTTTCTATTTAGAAATTGTTCGCGAGATTTGTAATTGTGTATGACTTAATAAATTACAGCATCTACATAAAACCTCAACATTAGCATGTACATATGAATAAATGATATTGCTCATACATGAACATTTGTTTGTTCTAACAGCTAAAACAACAAATGTATTGGAATATACCAGAATATACAGCATATTAGCATAAAAGTGTTAAGTAAATCAAAATGTAAGCGATAGTATTGATGTGTAAGAAAGCAAGAAGCCTTACAAAATTAGATTTAATTGACGTGGAAAAGTCAACAACAGAGTAGTATAGAAAGTAAATGAGTCGAAAATATGTTTGAATTAAGATGTTAATACATGGGGGTTGAATAAAAAGGATATAAAACTTGCCAACTTGTACCTCCTTTGAATCCTATTTTTGTTTTCTGATTTTATGTCAAAATATTTCATATTCTAAAAATATCTTTCAGTTCCTAAATTAATACAGACAATGTTCTGATCATAGTCACATGCTGTTCAAAAAGAATCTTAAGTATTGAAGCATGTATTTAAATAATATTTCAACATATCAACACATACCTAGCTTAATACACAAAACAATAAATCACTTGGAAACAGATTATCGAAATTGACGGCAATATACCTTTCTTCTTTTCATTCACTTCTTTTTGTCGTATTAAGTTTATTTATGATATACAATTTCCACTACTTTAGTTCTCTCCTTTATTGGTGTTATTATTGTTAGTCGGCACTTTATTTCATATTAAGTCGCACCGATTTTCGAAGGATTAGAAACAAATAAAATGAATGAAAAAGTAGAAAATGAATTTAAAGCGTGTAGACTGGTGTAGACAGCAAACAATAAATGCTTTTGTTCTTATGTGAATGATCATTATTGAAAAAATCGACAGACGTATTCGAGTGATGTTTGAGTTCTTTCCCTAATTGGCAAAGAGCACAGGAAGAGCACACTCTAATTTTTGCTGAGTATACTCTAAAAAGTATGCTCTTTCATACAAAAGTTTGTGCCACTACTTTACGCCTAAAAGTGTACTCACCTGAGCATACTTACTCAGTTATACTTTGAGCACACTCTTGAAATAAAACATTTTTTTATGTGTCATGTCACATGTGACACATTTTATGCTCAATTATGCACATAAAACATATGCTCAAATGAGTATACTTAGTTTGACATACTTTTAATATACTCATAAAAGTACATCTTAATCTGACTATTGATGTACTCAAAAGAGTATACTTTGAGTGTACTTTAAAGGACGTAATAAATAAAAATTGTTATTTTTTGAAACTTTTTTTTTATTATTATGTTACATAATTAATGTGTACTTTTTTAACTGTGCTGTTTAATTTTCAAAGCTATGAAAGAAAGAAAGAAGAAATGACTAATGAAAATTTTATAAATCTTACCGGGATTCGAACCTCTGATCGCTGTGTTCTTAGATAAATTCTGCGTTGCTTCCTCTACTCCACCGAGTTGTGTTATCTTAAGTGAAATATTTGGCAAATAACACATTTAACTTTGATTTTTACACGCTTTTTATTGAGTTGCTCTGTTGGTTTCTTTGTATGTCACGTTCAAATCTTGCAATCGATTTTTCGACCACTTCTATTGCTCCAATCGAGCTCAAATTTTATATACACACGTATTCCCGGTGACAATACAATATTTTAACACTTTGGAACCACAAAAATGCTTAATTATAGTACAATTTTAGTAAAACTTTTTTATATGGGAAAAAAATCCAATGTCAATGATATAAAATTTTGATTTGTTGAAAATGTTATACTTGAAATGCTCAAAAGTCATTTATATGATTCATTATAGTTTAATTAATATTACTAATTATTAATTATACTATAAATTTGAGCCGCTAAAGATATTCTGGTAGGACAAAAAAAATTGACAAGTAATTTTTTCATGAATATTTGTAAGTGAAAATTTGAATTTTCAAAAAAACCGTTAAGCAAAAGTCCGTTACGAATTAATGCAAAATAACTATTAATATGCGATGTGCATTTAGCAGACATAGTTTAAGCATAAATTTTAGCTGTTTTTAATGTATTACATTGTTCATAACACTTCACCAATTTAATTAAATTGACTTTTCTATATATTAACGGCTTGACGTATTTTTGCATAACATATAAATATATTCATTGAATTTAAATTTGAAAATCCGTTATAAATACGTTACATATGTGATTTGCATTGATGTTAAGAATCCACACGTTATGAAGTAGAAATCTATAAACAGTTGAACGTAACGGAGTGAAACGAAGTGGAGTTCAACACACCTGTAACCTATAAACCTACTGTAATCTATAAACAGTTGAACGTAACGAAGTGCAACGAAGTGAAGTTCAACACACCTGTAACCTATAAACAGTTGAACGTAACGAAGTGCAACGAAGTGGAGTTCAACACACCTGTAATCATAAACCTACTATAATCTATAAAAAGTTGAACGTAACGAAGTGCAACGAATTGGAGTTCAACACACCTGTAACCTATAAACCTACTGTAATCTATAAACAGTTGAACGTAACGAAGTGCAACGAAGTGAAGTTCAACACACCTGTAACCTATAAACCTACTGTAATCTATAAACAGTTGAACGTAACGAAGTGCAACGAAGTGAAGTTCAACACACCTGTAACCTATAAACCTACTGTAATCTATAAACAGTTGAACGTAACGAAGTGCAACGAAGTGGAGTTCAACACACCTGTAACCTATAAACCTACTGTAATCTATAAACAGTTGAACGTAACATAGTGCAACGAAGTGAAGTTCAACACACCTGTAACCTATAAACCTACTGTAATCTATAAACAGTTGAACGTAACGAAGTGCAACGAAGTGCAACGAAGTGGAGTTCAACACACCTGTAATCTATTAACAGTTGAACGAAACGGAGTGGAGTTCGACACATCTGTAATCTATAAACCTACTGTAATCTTTAAACAGTTGAACGTAACGAAGTGCAACGAAGTGGAGTTCAACACACCTGTAACCTATGAACCTACTGTAATCTATAAACAGTTGAACGTAACGAAGTGCAACGAAGTGGAGTTCAACACACCTGTAGCCTATGAACCTACTGTAATCTATAAACAGTTGAACGTAACGAAGTGCAACGAAGTGAAATTCAACACACCTGTAACCTATAAACCTACTGTAATCTATAAACAGTTGAACGTAACGAAGTGGAGTTCAACACACCTGTAATCTATTAACAGTTGAACGAAACGGAGTGGAGTTCAACACACCTGTAACCTATAAACCTACTGTAATCTATAAACAGTTGAACGTAACGAAGTGCAACGAAGTGAAGTTCAACACACCTGTAACCTATAAACCTACTGTAATCTATAAACAGTTGAACGTAACGAAGTGCAACGAAGTGGAGTTCAACACACCTGTAACCTATAAACCTACTGTAATCTATAAACAGTTGAACGTAACATAGTGCAACGAAGTGAAGTTCAACACACCTGTAACCTATAAACCTACTGTAATCTATAAACAGTTGAACGTAACGAAGTGCAACGAAGTGCAACGAAGTGGAGTTCAACACACCTGTAATCTATTAACAGTTGAACGAAACGGAGTGGAGTTCGACACATCTGTAATCTATAAACCTACTGTAATCTTTAAACAGTTGAACGTAACGAAGTGCAACGAAGTGGAGTTCAACACACCTGTAACCTATGAACCTACTGTAATCTATAAACAGTTGAACGTAACGAAGTGCAACGAAGTGGAGTTCAACACACCTGTAGCCTATGAACCTACTGTAATCTATAAACAGTTGAACGTAACGAAGTGCAACGAAGTGAAATTCAACACACCTGTAACCTATAAACCTACTGTAATCTATAAACAGTTGAACGTAACGAAGTGGAGTTCAACACACCTGTAATCTATTAACAGTTGAACGAAACGGAGTGGAGTTCGACACATCTGTAATCTATAAACCTACTGTAATCTTTAAACAGTTGAACGTAACGAAGTGCAACGAAGTGGAGTTCAACACACCTGTAACCTATGAACCTACTGTAATCTATAAACAGTTGAACGTAACGGAGTGCAACGAAGTGGAGTTCAACACACCTGTAACCTATGAACCTACTGTAATCTATAAACAGTTGAACGTAACGAAGTGCAACGAAGTGAAATTCAACACACCTGTAACCTATAAACCTACTGTAATCTATAAACAGTTGAACGTAACGAAGTGCAACGAAGTGCAACGAAGTGGAGTTCAACACACCTGTAATCTATTAACAGTTGAACGAAACGGAGTGGAGTTCGACACATCTGTAATCTATAAACCTACTGTAATCTTTAAACAGTTGAACGTAACGAAGTGCAACGAAGTGGAGTTCAACACACCTGTAACCTATGAACCTACTGTAATCTATAAACAGTTGAACGTAACGAAGTGCAACGAAGTGGAGTTCAACACACCTGTAGCCTATGAACCTACTGTAATCTATAAACAGTTGAACGTAACGAAGTGCAACGAAGTGAAATTCAACACACCTGTAACCTATAAACCTACTGTAATCTATAAACAGTTGAACGTAACGAAGTGGAGTTCAACACACCTGTAATCTATTAACAGTTGAACGAAACGGAGTGGAGTTCGACACATCTGTAATCTATAAACCTACTGTAATCTTTAAACAGTTGAACGTAACGAAGTGCAACGAAGTGGAGTTCAACACACCTGTAACCTATGAACCTACTGTAATCTATAAACAGTTGAACGTAACGAAGTGCAACGAAGTGGAGTTCAACACACCTGTAACCTATGAACCTACTGTAATCTATAAACAGTTGAACGTAACGAAGTGCAACGAGGTGGAGTTCAACACACCTGTAACCTATGAACCTACTGTAATCTATAAACAGTTGAACGTAACGAAGTGCAACGAAGTTGAATTGTTGTGGTCGAAATTCGATTAAAAGATTGAGACTAAAAAGTAGCAAATAAAAAAACGTTAAAAAAAACTTTTTAAAAAACACGCTTTTATCAAAAAGACTAAAAACCAAAAACTTGAAAATAAAATAAGATCACACTTTTAGCGAATCAGGATTTTAAAAATTTTCTTGTGGCAACTAGAAATGTAACATAAAT